ATATATATTAATGAAGTATTTTCTTTTTATTAATTTTATATAATTATATTTTAATCGATTAATAAATAAATAAAAGTGTGGTAATACACGGTATGATACTCACTAGTTTCGTGGGATGAGAAGAAAAATAATACTCCATAAAGATGACGTGACACTGTAATGATATACGAAGTATGGTATAACACGTATGAGCTAAGAAAATAAAGAATTTAATTTAAAGGTTTTACCTCGTTAACCGAATTATAAGAAAAATAGGATAATTTCTAGAAACCCCTCGTACATTATTAACCACTTATCATTTTGGCTCCTTTTTGTTGCTTTAATGCCACACGGAAGAAAAAATGTTAATGAGTTAAAAGGGTAATATATTTTTTGATTTGTACACATTTGGTTATTAAGTTTTTTTCGTTCATATTTACCCCTTCAACTTGTTAAACTGTATACATTCAGTCATTATGACCTGCTACTCCAGGTTACCCGGTAAAAATGACTTGATATGGTAATATATTTCTCACTTTGTACACATTTAGTCCTTAATATTTTTGTACACATTTAGTCCTTAATATTTTTGTACACATTTAGTCCTTTTTTTTTTTTTTTTTTGCAAAATAAGTCATTTTTTTGTACTCATTCAGTACTTATGAATGATATTTTTAGTTTTTTCTCACGAAATCTTACGTGTGACATTTATTAATGAGGTGTATGGGGCTTTTGATGCTTATATCCATCGCGATCTCGACTACTTGGTTGCTTAGGTCATGTGTTCTGAACGTTATAACCTCTTCATATGATCTCGGATTTTAACGATCTTTATATCCATGCGTTTGTATTTTAGTCTACTACATCTTTCATTTAGATTACTCCCATTAAAAAATAATATATTTTTACTTACAATTTTTATATCCATACGCGGTGGCGAATTTAGTATGGTCCCGGTGTTGCACCGACAACACCTGTTTTTTCTGTTCGTAGTGGAAAAATTTTCGCTTTTTTTTACGTTTATACCTATTTTCCATGTATCGGCAACACCTATTTCATCTCGGCAACACCTACTATGTATTACTGCGTCTTCCCCCGTCCATAAGTTTTTTTTATGAATGCATGTATGTATGTTTTTTTATAAAATCGTTAGTAAAAATATATTACATTTTATCGGGAGTAATCTTAATGAAAGTTGTAGTAGACTCAAAAAATGAACACGTGGGTAAAGATCTTTAAAATCTGATATCGTATGAAGAAGTTACGATGTTCAAAATACAAGACCTAAGCCAAACCACAAGACTTACGCAACCAAACAGTCGGGATCGTATTGGACATAAGCATCAACAAGCCCAAGCACCTCATCAATGATTGTCTCATGTAAGATGTCGTGAAAAAAACCTAAAGAAATCATTCATAAGTACTGAATGAGTACAAAAAAAAGACTTATTTTGAAACAAAAAAAAATGTTAATGACTAAATATGTACAAAAATATTAATGACTAAATGTTAATGAATGTATACGGTTTAACAAGTTTAAGGGGTAAATGTGGACGAAAAAAAAAACTCAGTGACCAAATGTCTACAAATCGAATAATATGTTACCCTTTTAAGTCATTATCCCTATATATACAATACACGAGTTTTCTTGAAATTAGTCTTTTTAGGATTTGCATGGGGATGTTACATTTCTATCTATTTTTAACATATTATTCTACTTTCAAAGGCATGGTCATTTTCATTCCAAGTATTTGAGATACAATAAGTGTCCATGGTTACAAAAAATAAAAAATAGAATAAAAATAAAATCGAGGTGTAATATATATGATTGTGATTTGTGTCCGTTGTTTTTACATATTGGACCACTACCTAATAATTAGAATCAACATCTCAACTTTATGGATTTTGGACCAAGGTATATTTGGGATAGGGTTTAGGACCAACGTATATTTGAAGATATTTTAGAAATTTTTAGGGTAATTGGATGAATATGTTAGAAGACTGACTCGTTGACTTATGCATGATTGCAAAAGTGAGGAAATTGGAAAAGGAACCAAAAGTATTCTTGCATCAATAGTACGGGAAAAGATTCAACTTTGTATTTTTCCTTTTAAGAAACTTTGCACCAATGTGTCGGATGGCCCTAAAGTCGAATCGGTTGTTATATATGACATATGCCATGATCTCTTGCGTCACAATATATAGTTTATCTTTAGAAGGATAAGTCTTAACTTTTCTAACATCAATATCAATATTCAATAATATTCGGTTTCATTGTACACTACTTTAAGCAATACGATGGTTTCTTACAGAAAAATCAATGGTTTTTATTCTAGAAAGCGTATTTTCTTAGGGTTCAAATTCTAATTTTTTTACTATGGTAATTGCTTTTTCCATCTGATCTATTTAAGTTGCACCAATCGTACAAATCAATAATCAAAATCACCTCCCTTTTTACAGTTTACTAATAATCTCTTTGGCTTAATTTGGTGGCGTTCGAGTACTCCTTTTGATTAGTATCCTTCATGAGCGTATCTCTAATGAATGTACTCTTAATTAAACCAATTACAAGAAAGTTAAAGGTTTTCATCTTTAATATACAACAATATATATCTGTTCAACTAAATGTTAAAAGGAGCAATAACTACTTAATTAATTACTTTTGAACAAATAGTACGTGAACACAGGCTTTCTGAAAATCGACAGGAACTACTCGACAACTAGACTGATTGGAATCTCATATACACAACCATATGACGACGCCGGTCAGAAGTTTTGACAGGCCATCGGTGAAAGCCCGGAGAAGATCGGAGAACGGCAGAACGGACAAGCATGCTGTTTCCGGTGAAGCAATTGACCGACGCAGTCAGAATGGTATACGTGACGACACCTGCTGAGCTGACAAACAACGTCATCGAGATGGTAATCGGCAGAGCATATAAAACACATCTCTTCCACGAATCTGTTTCGCCGGTGCAGCAGCTCTTCGAACTTGATAACCGGAAGATCGACGAGACTTGGGTATGGAGTAGAGTTATCGCATCGAAACAAGTAGAAGAAGAACTCCGTGATTAAATTGAGCAAATCTTGCTTGATACGGAAGACCGGAAAGAGTATACAGAGGTAGAAGACGATGTTCATCAACATATTTGATATTTCTTTTTTCATTCAGTCTGTGATTTTCTTTGTTGTTTGAAATTTGCATACGAATGTCAAGGAGTGGGGTTTATAAGGAGAAGTGGGCCCGTTGGCATGGTGCCATGCTGGCGTACCCAGCGTCGTCGTTTCGATAGGTAAATGGCTGAAATAGCATATGGAACGTGATTCACGTTCACGCTAAGATGTTATTGAAAATGAAATTGTTTGGTGGAGTTTTTGGGTGTAACACAAAGTAACATTTACAAATTACAATCAGCTTATCATATTCATCACAACCTTGTCCATTATAATAAATATATAAATATTTAAAACATAATTTTTTAACCATTGAAATACCAATAAATACAACTGTAATGCTTGACAAATAAATAAGTTATGACTTCTGTATGAACGTTTATGAAGGAAGTAAGGTTCTGGTGTAAGTCAATGGGCTACAAAGACACTTCCTCCAACTTTGCTGCCAAAATCAAGACTTTGGATTTTTTTTATTTTTTTTGAAAGGTTAATATACATATATTATAATTAAAAAAGACTTTGGATACCATGCTTTTTTTTTTTTTGAAAAAAATTATAGATGGCAGTTTTTATTTATTTAATATTTAATATATAACTTATTTTCTTCATTTGTTTTAATATTTGTTGCCCAAGTTGCAGTATCATTTATTAAAATTTTGCAAAGGTACATTAATATGTCATCGTATTTCTAAATTTTGTAATAATTTAATTGAACAGTGAAACTTATCAACACATATATTTATTCTTCATAGTAGTTATGTCAATTATATTATTTTTATATGAATTAAATATAATTTATTGTACACAAATTATTTAGGTGTATTGACGTGGCTCTTGCTCATGGGTGAATGGTGATGGGTCTACAGTAGAATATAGTGACCGCTCACGGGTTCTAAAGTATTCATGGTTCAGATTAATTAACTACCATTCGCAAGTAACGTTTAAAAATTGAAATCAAATATCTTTCTATTTTTTTTTTTTTATTAATCTTACTCTTAGTTGAAGATAAATGTCACGACTAAAAGAGATGATTAAAAAAATTAATGAATTTAACATAATATGAGTAGGAAAATAAATAAAATCAAGATATAAAACATATTTAATTTTTCTTCAAGAATTGTCAACTCAAAAAGTCAAAGTGTGCAATTTCAATAAGTTTCAACTTCCAAGTAGGTAATCAATATTGTTTAACGAACTTTCAATATGTTCAACTTTATAGTTGTTAAACAACTTCTAATTAGGCTAGAGGGAGCAACTTCGACATATGTCCGGCAATTGCTGACTCACCTCGACAACACGACCCTCAAGCTTGATATGTCGAGTTTTGTGAGCCAACTTGGTAACCGGTTGAGGAGATAAAGTCTCTCTTCTTTCTTTCTTCTTTCCTACTCGACACCCCACCCGTCTCTTCTTTCCAACTCTACAAGACGTTGCTTTACCAACTTTAATTGTTATTTGGATATATTTCTACTACAAGAAGAGTCGTTAGCGACCAATATTTAATGACGATCAAAATCTGGTCAATAACATCATCTTTTAGTCGCCATATATTATGTCATCATAAATTTTTGGTAGAGTTATACATTTAGTGACCAAGCTGCTGTTTGTTTTTTTTTCTAAAAAACTATTTCTTATCATTTATTGTTGCGCCGCGCACCACACACGCAACATTTGACCATTCGCAGTTGTTTGTTTTTTCAGAAGACTTCTAACTTAAAAACTGTTGCGTGTGTGTTGCGTGGCGCATCACTAGACCATCTGCTTCAAACTTCTTCACACCTTACTTTAACTTATTGCAGCAGTCTGCAGACCTTAAAAAACAAATAGACTTTTTATTACATGTTGTAGCCATTTGGTCCACCTCTTCTGCTACAGAAGGTTGCAGAGGTGGTACGCAGACTTCATGCATTTTCGTTTCGAAAAAACAAACAACACCCAAGTAAATTAAGTGGTCACTTCATTCACAAATTTTTGGTAGAGTTATACATGTGACCAAGTAAATTAAGTGGTCACTTCATTGAAAACTTGATGACCAAAAATAATCATCATTGAATTTTCAAACCCACCTAACTTTCATATAGAAATATCATGACAACATTATTGTTGTTATTGAATTACAAAATGCAAGGAATTTCGTGACCATAAAATAATGCTCACTAAGGCTGTGCGGAGTGTAGCGGGAAACGAACCTGCACCTCGGAACACTACACCGAGGGTGCGGGAAAGATGGTGCGGGAAGGGGGTGATGGGAATGCTCCCCGCATTCTCTCTTCCTCTGATTGGTCAGACATTTTTTTTAATATTTAGTAAATTATATACCTACTAAAAAATTATAAAAAAATATATCAAAACTTATTGTTTTTAATTCCCTACAAAATGAGTATAATATTTGTATAATATATATTTTTTTAAAAAGGTAAAAAAAATAAAATGTAGTAAATGATAGTGAAAGATGACAATTTCCTGTGTATTGGTGAGGGAAAGAAGAGTGAGGAAAAACCTAATGTGACACTCAAAAAAATGAAAAATGCTTCCTATACACACCCCAAGGTCTAATGGGTGTTGTTTTGCAAAAATCACTAGAGAATGGGGTTTCAGAGGGTGTGACATCAGTGATGTTAATTGTACAAAAGTGGATGAACTATTAAACTTTGCAGCTAAATGGGGCACTGCCCGAAGAAACGGGATATGTTACTTGCTATCTGTTATGATAGGTTTTTGTGGATTTGGAAGGCGAGGAATGATGAGATTTTCAAGCAATGTATTGTGAATGAATCCTACAAAGATGGCTCACAACATCATGGTGATTGTGTAAAATGCATAAGGAGCGGGGTGGGGGGATATATTAAAATGATTGCCCTTAATTTAATTTAATTCAATTTTTTTGGAAATAATTTTGGAAATAAAGGGATTAAATGGATTGATCGGAGTGTCTTCCCTTTCCTAAACTTGTAAATTGTTTCTGTTGTTTTCTTTGGTTTCTGTTCTTTTCCCTTTTCCCTTTTCCCTTACTTCTTGTTCTTTTGAATTTTTTACCCTTCTTGTTTGTTACTATTTTGGTTTCTTAATATATTTGCATTTTCTAAAAAAAAAGTATTTTTGTATATGAGTTCGGGAAGAATAGTAACCATAATTCATGGTCATCGGATAGGAGAGTTGACAATTATAAAAAACCATGATCATTAATAGTTGTCATTGCATTTGCGTTTAATAATAAAAATAATGATCATTGTATTGGTGACTTATTGGTAAAATATAATCATCATTGTATTTGATACTTAATTATCAAAAATAATAATCATTACATAAAAAACTTAATGACCAAAAATAATTATCACCGTATGATTGCCCTTAATTTAATTTAATTTAATTTTTTTGAAAACGATAAATATATTAAAACGCGCCCACGGCTAACAAGTAATTAGGTGAGGATCAGAAAAATAAACAAAAAAGTTACAAGAGTAGCTAATGTGATTACATATGAAAAAAGAAGAAGATATTCATTCACCCTAATTATAGATTTCACCTTTGTCCGTACACTTAATCCATAAATATACTACAGATTTAATATGATCGTCTCCAACAGCCCCAACATCAGGTGAGATAAGAATCTGTTGAAATACCCTCTCGTTACGAAATCTCCATAAGCTTCACAATTATCCGTAGCAGATGAAAGTGAACCTATCTTATTTCAATTTTTAAAAAACCAACCATTATAATCATATATTATCTAGAATGTCTTTGGTATTTCATTTTCAAATAATTTTAGAATTTTAGAATTTTAGAAGTTAAAACATCATTTGATCTTTTGTCAACCCAAAAGCAAGTAGAGTTTAAATAATAATATCATTTATTTATTTAGTCTTAAAACTAGAATATGCTTTGACTAAATAAATGACGTTTTTTAATTACATATTATCATTATTATTATTATTATTATTATTATACGCTATTGATTATTATTTTAATCTTTAAAAACCAACCATTATACTTATATATTATCTAGAATGTGTTTGGTATTTTATTTTGAACCTTAAAATACTTTTAAATAAAATGATTTATTGACTTAAAATGGTGAGAAAATAAGATTTTTTAAAAAGCATTTAGATTCACATTTGCGGTAAAAAAGTTAATAAGTCAATAAGTTGTTTTTTAATAAAATACTTGTCTCGGTTTATAAATATTTTAAAGAGTATTTGCATTTTACAACCAAAAAAATTATAAAAGATTCCGAAAAATTAAAAATCTTAATATAATCAACTCTTCCTTTTAAGATGTTGATAAAAAATTATTTTAAGTTTTTTTTTCATATAACCAAACATTAATGTTTTGCCCAAACGTTCCTCCTTTCGGTCATTCTTTTCAGAAGCTTCTTCTTGAGCTTTTTTTATACTTTCCACAATGGTTGAGACAACTTCTATTCTCAACGTTCTTGGCCTTTTTTTTCAAGATTGACTTTCCGACTGAGAGCATCAGCGACAACATTTGCTTTACCGGGGTGGTAAAGTATCTCACAATCGTAGTCCTTGAGTAACTCTAGTCAGCGTCGTTGCCTCATATTTAATTCCTTCTGATTAAAGAGATATTGGAGACTCTTATGATCAGTGAAAAGTTTGCACTTCGAGCCATAGAGGTAATGCCTCCATATTTTCAGAGCAAATACTACCGCTACCAACTCCAAATCATGAGTGGGGTAGTTCTTTTCATGCTCTGTCAGCTGTCAATACGCATATGCTATCACATTTTCTCTTTGGGTCAAAACACAACCCAACCCAACACCAGACGCATCGCTATAGACAGCGAAGTCTTCAACTACATCGGGTAGAGAAAGAATCGGTGCTTCACATAGCTTCTTCTTTAGCAACTCGAATGCTTCTTTGTGTTTATCACTCCAAGCATAAGTAGCTCCTTTGTGAGTCAAAGCTGTTAATGGAGTAGCGATCGAAGAAAAGCCTTGGATAAACCTTCGGTAA